GCTAAACAATTGTGCCCCCCAGCTGCCCACAGCTATTGCTGACATGGAAAAGGGCAGTTTGCCAGCTAACGAATCTATTATTCAGAGATCTCAGTCAATACCAGCAAAGTAATAAACATTCACTCAGAAGCATATGCCTGCTGGCAAAAGAAAAAAAAAAGAAGGAAAGAAAAAAATTCTAACACACACTGAGACCCATAAAAGCTGCTTATTCTCATTGGTTTTAAATAAACATATCTCACACCAGCAAGCACTTTATATTTTATTGTGAGGCAATAAAAATTATGTGATTTCCCCAGGGATCGTCATAAAATATTTAGCTTTCAAAAAAGTAGGTGATCCCTGTGCAATGTTACGTGAATTTTCAGGATCTGTTGAGGTTTCTTCTCACATAACAAGCTAAGATATCGCCCCTGAGGGAAAGGGCTGTATTGCAGTTATACCCTCCAATTAACTGTTGTGTCCTGGGAAATATATTTCTAGGTCCCCAGGCAAAAGACAGCCCAGCTGTTTGGGTTGTTTCCTAATTCTCCGCTTCCCCTTCACAAAGGAAACATTCAATATATATAACAATCATAAAATCCAGGTAAAATAGCGAAGGAGAAAAAAAATCAGGGAAAGGGTCTGGATGCATGAAGTTTTCAAGTTCTAGTTGCAGAATGTTCAAGAAATTCAGATTGCACAGTGACAGTGTCATGACTTCATGTGACTTTATCTAGACAATTCTGTACTCATCAAAGAATACGCCTTCCACCCAAGCAGGGAGGTTTTGAAATCACTGATTTATTTAAACCACCTTTTAATTTAACCTTTGTGTTTGGAGATTCTAATTCATGTAGCTTAGCTTAATATAGTTTGGTTCTCCACTTAAAACGGTTCTATGAAACTGTAACATAGTGGAATAGAAACTTGGTGCAGCTGGAGAGGCTGAAAGGTCGCCTGGGCAGAGAGATTAGTAAGAAAGAAGACATTTAATATACTGACTTCCATTTCCCACATACAAATAGTTCACCCCTTGGCAGACCAGCTTTTGATTTTTTTTTAATTTTTTCATTTTAATAAAACATAACTACATTTTCCCCATTCCATTCCTCCCTTTGGCCCCGCCCGTGTCTCCTTCCTCCAGCACCTCTCATATCTCCCATTCCCGCCTCACTCACGACAAAATTGAAAGCTTTTCTTCTTTGAATATACATCATATGTGTATTATATACATGATATATGAATATACATAATATATGTACACATACATAAATTGTGCCCATTTAATGTTGCTTTGTGGATATGATTTGGGGTCTTCATTTCCTAGAGACAGATGTCGCGGCCATTTTCAGATGCAGACGGGCATATCTGATGTCCTTAGTAAACACTTACACAGCAAGACTTGGTATTTAGACTGTGTGGAAAGGTACCATGGCATTCGTGCCGTCAATTCAGACTCCTGGCATTGAGAAATGAGCTATTCCTATGGCCTGTTTCCATGTCTTGACCTCTGTACAGACTTTCATCACTTGTACAAATGTATTAATAACAGATTCGTGTTCATATAGTATTTTGTCTTTTCATCTATATTAACATTCTGTCTCATATCAGTAAGGTTTGGAAAATTAAGCCCCACTGTAAAAATGAATTTTTTTTAGTGCATTACTGTAGTAATTTTTCTTTAAAAATATTTTTTAAAAGTTAAGTTTATGGAATTCTTGATACCTGCATTTAAGCTGTAGACATGGGAGTTGTGATTTCCTTTAATCATCTAACAGAGCATAAAAACCCAGAAGAGTATTTCCTTTAATTATCTAATGGAGCATGAAACCCAAGAAGATTTCTCAGTGAAGACAGTTGCCAGGTAGAGAAGGAACGTGAAGGTCACAGGTCACGGGACCAGCATTTCTGGAACACTCTGGTCTCATGTAGGAAAGCTTGTTTGACTCACTTGACTGTACAGCAGTTGAGATGGGAACAGACTGGGAGGTGAACCAAGTCCCTAAGGTTGAACATCTTATTTCATTATATAGAACTGAAATGGTAGAATGAATGTGGTATATGTTAGAAATTTTACATTTACTGAATGATTTTTACTCTTAAATACGTCATACCTACATCCCCCAAATTCTCTTTTAGTAAGATCTTTGACTGTAAATTAAGACAATGTAAATACAAGGACAAAAGCAGCATAGATGTGGGCGTGGAAGAACATCTGATTGGATATTGCATGTCCGCCTTAACAGACCAGGGTTATGTGGAAAACATTTGTTTATTTTCCGTTAAGGCTCTTGAAATGAGGGTTTTATTTCTTGATCATAGTGTTACTATATATTATAACTTTTAAAAAGCTAGCTGTGACATAAACTCTATACATTAATATTTATTTATTTATTTTAGCATTATTGGTTGAATTGTTTTGAACTTGGTTGCTTAAAATGATGGAAAAAAAACCTTTTTAAACTGAAAATCTGTCTATTATCACTGACAACCTAGAGTTACTGAGTTACTCAAAGATGATGGTGACATTGTGACAATTTTTTAAAAAGTGCAACTAGAGTCCTATACAGACCTGAGTGACGTGCACTTCTGCCTGAGGTCATGGTGTCAGGCCTGAGCTGCAGCCTGGGCCATGTCTGGTTACATGGTCCTGTCACAGCCAGGGTCTGTGTTGATGTTCGTGGTTCCTGCTACCACCGAAGGCAATGAGGACAGGGCTGCACAAAGTTGCTCCTGCCCCTCACTGGCTGCAGCACTAGGAAGAACTGGGTCTGCCCTTCACCAGCTATAGCACTCAGGAGAGCAGGTCCTATACCTTGTCTGCGCAGCACAGTAGAACTGACCCCATGACAGGGTGCTGGTGAGCTGGCCCTGAACGTGAGAGAGTGGGAGACTTAGCCTCACTATCTGTCTGTCACAAGGTGGTGTGGGCAAGGGAGCAATGCCCTCCCCCGCTTCTCCACTCCTCCATGCCTGTGGTGGGTGGGAGAGCTGGCCCTGAGTTCCTGAGACTGGGAGAGCTGCTCGTGCCCGTCACCAGCTGCAGCACTCGGGAGCGTGGGCCCTGCCCGTCACCAGCTGCAGCACTCGGGAGCGTGGGCCCTGCTACCCTGGGTGGACTAGCCAGAGCAGAGGAGAGCTTATCCAGGTGTTGAGGGTGAGAAAAAAATTAGTGGGTTGATCAACCCAGCTACCACCCAGAACCAACGCTGTGAATTAGCCCTCACCAATAGCCACCTCCTCTTATGAACTGCTGGAACACGTGAGGGGCTGACCTGCAGATCCAAAACTTCAGGAACTCCATGACACAGGGCAACAACAGAATACCCAAGAGGAGTCCTAATGAAGGCTCAGTATCACTAGGGTAGCAGAAGCCAGAGGCCTTGAACCAGACCAATGACTCATCACAAAGAACATTCACAAGTAAAGATGTATGGACTAAGGGGATGCTGTGTGACTCACTGTGCCACACTGCAGCTTCCATACCAAGACAGTTTTTGTTTTTTTGTTTTGCTTTGCTTTGGTTTTAATTTGCTTGTTCATTTCTTTGGGGGTTTTGTTTGGTTTTGGTTTTGGTTTTTACTTTTAAATTTTATTTTGGGGCAGATGTTGCAACGACAGAGTGCAGACGGGAAGGGGTGAGGAGATGAATGGGATTGTGGTGTGTGTGAACTCCACACAGAATTAAAAGAACTGGCATAAATAAAAACACATGGTAACACTTTATATTCTTCTCATGACCTCCTGATGACCTCCTCCTCGCCATCTTCCTCTTCCTCCTCATCACCCCGATCCTCTTCTTTTTCTTCTTCTCCCCCGCCTTCCCTTTCCTCTTTGGACATGCTTGTTAGCTTTTAAAGAGTTCAATAGAGTATCTCATTTTTCTAGGTTCTGGGTATTAAGCCTACCACTTTTTGTTTTGTTGTTTTGTTTTGTTTTTGTTTTTCAAGACAGAATTTCTCTCTAGTTTTACCACTTTGATTTTGAAAACCATATCTTTGCATGACAAGAGGGAGTCCTGCTTTTTATTTTCCTGAAAAAGTTCTTTCTCATTTAAATAATTTCCTCTTTTTTATAATATTTTCAAATAATATGATACTTATTATAAAATGTTCTGTTTCGCATTTATCAATTAAATAATTTCCTATTTTCTCTAAAATTTTCAACTAAAATGATACTTATTAAGCAGAATTTTGTCTGTTATGCAGAAAATAGATTAATTAAAAAAATCTTCCTCTTTTTCTAATACTCAGTATGCAAAAGCAAAAACAAAAACAAAACAAACAAAACAAAACAACCCAGTTCTCTTCCTGAAACGTGTGAACGGTCTTAGATAGTATACCATTACAAGGCCAGAATAGCAATGCCCCATCTTAGATAGCATACCAGTACAAGGCCAGTATAGCAACACCCTGGATTGAAGTGAGAATCATTCTAGTAATGGAGGATTTGCTTATTTGTGTTAAAATGTTCCTACTTTTTGAAGCTTCTTATTTAAAAGCCTTTGAAAGGTCATTCACACGCTCCTTCACGTCCTAGTTGCCCTGTTCTGGTTTGTTATTATTTTACCTTATTTTCTTTTGTTTTTCTATTATTTTATAGATGCCTATTTGTATTCTAATGAGAAAGGGAAAAAATGATGTTTATTTGAATAGGTAGGGAGTTGGGGGAAGATCTTGGAAGAGCCGGGGGAGGGGAGACCATAATCTGAATATTTTATATGAAAAGAATCTATTTTCAATAAAATATATATAGTGAAAGTGTGTGATCAGCTCTGAACTGAGAAGATGAAAGAAACATGGACCCCCTTAGGATACCTAATTGCTTGATGTGTATGGTGCCTTTGAAGTTTCAATTTCAGATTCCCCACTACTGTGCCCACGCCATCCTGAGAAGTGTGGCCGGGCTCAATCAGAACACCTCGACTGACGTGAAGCCGCAAACAGCCGTCCCAGGTGAGGCAGATTTAAAGACATTGCTTATTAATCCCACAATGTTCTTTCCGTAACCCTTCTCAGGAAGCACCCGTGGTGGCCAGAGCTGCTCTGTTTCTGGAATGTGCCCGTTTTGTTCACCGGTGTAACCGGGGCAACTGGCCAGAGTGGATGAAAGGCCACCATGTGAACATCACCAAGAAAGGCCTTTCCCGGGGCAGGTCCCCCATCGTGGGCAACAAGCGGAACCAGAAACTGCAGTGGAATGCTGCCAAGCTCTTCTACCAGTGGGGAGATGTGAGCCTTTGTCTTTCTTCTGTAAAACTTAGGGCATTTGAGTGGAATGTAGTTTCTCTTAGTTATTTGTTTTAGAGACAGCATATTGTCTGCTATAGTCCATATACTGAATGAACGCTTTTGGGGGGAGGAGGTAATTGTTTAATCTCCCCCAACCAATCTATAAGGCTAACTATCACTGTTTGGTTTTATAGTTAGGGACACTGAAGTTTATACAGGGAAAGTAACTTAGCAGATTGCATATAGTTGAAATAATCAGTATTTCATCTTCCATGTTGGATTCCAAAGCATTGGATTTAATTACTGTATTCAAGAATCATCTTTATGGTCAAATCATTGCTATTATTTTAAAAATATTTATATCCTGGAAGCATAATTTTTTTCTTTTTAAAATTGTAATGTTTTATATTTGTTGGCAATTTTATGTGTGTATATGCCGGTTTTATGCATTTTCACCTCCTACCCATGATCCTCTCTCAACACTCTCTTCCCCCTGCAACACTTGCTGAGTTTTATTGTGGGTACTTGCACGATCGTGAGTGTGAGGGATGCTATTTACCAGACATGGGCTACTTAGCACTGGTTACATCACTGAAGAAATGCTATCTCCCCCAGCAAAGGTTTACCACCCATAGTCCCTTCCTTCTCTCTAACTTGCTAATAGATCTTTTCTTCTCTTACTGCACTATCTATGTATATAGGCAAATGTATGAATAAGTGAATAAGAAATACATTACTCCACTTTAAGAATTCTAACAAAATGGACCCTTATAATGCCAACTACCTCACTGTAGGAAAAGAGAAAGCGAAGAATACAAAGAAATTCAAGAAGAGTAAAAATTTTTTTCCTGCTAATTTTAAGCAGAAAGAAACACAAATGTTTATTAAGGGCTCAGTATCCCTATATTACTGGTATAGTTCCCTCAGGGACTCAGAATTCAAGAATCATCTTTATGATAAAATTGTCGCTATTATAAAATACTTGTATACTGGAAGCATAATTTCTCTTTTTAAAATTGTCGTGTTTTTGCTCTTTGGCAATTTTATGTGTGTATATGCTGATTTTAGGCATTTTCACTTCCTATCTGTTAGCATCTCTCAACCTCCTCTTACCTACAAACCCCATCAACTAATGCCGCTCATTCGGGATTTTCTGCTCTGGTCCGTCATCTCTTTTGCATAGTGATTGAGAAGGCATGTGCTGTGCCAAGATTGTGTGCTCTCTGTCTATAAACAGGAATACATTAATCTTAAAGCCACGTGTCATATTCAACAAAATAGGTTCGGTGTAGAAAACCTAACTGTGGTTGAGGGGGCATAAAGAGTTGGGATGGAGCTCTCTCTAAGCTCAGTCTTCAAAGACAGTGCCTTTTAAATACCCTGTGAAACATGTTTACGGAGTGGTTATGACACCGCAATACAATGTTAAAGGCAGAAATGTGAACAGAAGATTCTAGGAAAGGTAGGGCAGATAATTGGAGGGGGCTGGGGCTATTGTCCTCCTCCCAATCCATGAACATCTCAGTGAGACTCAACACCTAATACATGTATAAAATTCTTCCTGAATGACCTCTACTCTGGTTAGAATAAAGTTACAACCCACGCATTCACACTAAACATACTTGCAAACCCTGTCTCTCTCTTTCATTGTTAATGGTCTTATTTTTGTTAATAAAATATTGAATACTATTTCCCAATTATTTGGTCTCATAATCTTGCTGAAATCAGGGTGATTGTTTTTCTCTGAGACTACATTTATTATTATCAAATCAAAATCATTGGATTGGAGATGCATAGTGCTACATGACAGTGAGCAAGATAAAGGCTTTTCTCATTTCAGCACCCTTTATTTTCTACCCCAAACTATATTAAAATCCATTCATCCCCCTTCTGGTAGAAAGGATTTCCATTTTCAGAAGTCCAGGTACTTTGGGACAGTCTTGCTCTCGAGTAAAATGGAGATGCAAAGTATTTCTCTTCAGCACTTTATCTCTTTTGAGGGGTAGAGTGCTTAGCTTCTGTATTTCTCCCAGGCAAAGAGACAATCAACTGTACATAACCAACATGACAGTCACTCCATTTGAAGAGGTTTTACTAGATGGACCCTATTCTGCTAATAACGTTATAAAGAGGGCATAGAAATACATTTTGAGACTTCTTACAAGAATTCATAAACTATGAACACATTCACCAGATGTGCATGGTGTTCCTCTGAGAGAGGTGTCTCCAGGCACTGTTTTGATATAGTGAAAAATAACTATCATATAGTTCCAATTCCATTTGAGTTTTTAATATGATTAATAATCAATTGTATGATAAATTTAGATGTTTTATAGACTATGCTCCCGAGATGAACCATCTCTTTTTGCTTTCCTGTGTTTAGATGACAGATGGACAGAATGTATGAGGCCTGAATTGATCTGTTATCCCATCTATTAATCTATAAAATAGAGATATATCACTGGTAGTTTTGAGAGCCTGAAACATAAAGTAACATAAACATGTTGATTTAATAAGAATATCTATTTAGCTTAATTAAATAAAGTGAAATTAACAATTTGTCATTAATAGGTAAAATTACATTTAACTTCAACAATGTGTGGGCCCCCATTTTAAAATCTTCAAATGATAATTCTTTTTTTTTTAAATATTTATTTATTTATTATGTATACAATATTCTGTCTGCATGGATGTCTGCAGGCCAGAAGAGGGCACCAGACCTCATTACAGATGGTTGTGAGCCACCATGTGGTTGCTGGGAATTGAACTCAGGACCTTTGGAAGAGCAGGCAATGCTCTTAACCACTGAGCCATCTCTCCAGCCCCCAAATGATAATTCTTATACTATAATCATATTATATTATTCCAACTCTAATATTTCTTCATGCTTTATTAATTTGATATAATTAAAATATGATTGATTTATTTTCGAGACAGTCTGCAATAAGAACATACTCTATCACACTCACAGAGCTATCCTACACCTCACTGTTCCCCCAGAACTACAAACTCTCCCACACAAGTTAGCCTGCAGCTTACTGCTCCAGAGTTAGAATTTGGGTACCATCCTCTTATCTTCCCAGTGTGTGTGTCTCGGAACCTCTGTGGAGTCGAGGGTGACTCCCTTGCCTGAGCTAGATGAAATTGGGAGTCTTAGAAAATAGCAATGAGATTTGAGGTCATCAAGACTGATAATCAAGCCAGTTTTCAGTTTTTAGCTTTATTTTATACATAAAGCAATTTAAAAAACCTTTTTAGTAACACTCACAATTTTCAGTCTCCTGGTGGTGAAATACACAAACACACACATGTGCGCATACATATATGCACACACACAATATACATACATGCACGTCTATACACCCATATATATACATATATGTGCATTCACATATATTTGCATGCATACATACACACATATATAAAATTGTTGTTGTTCCTAAAAGTTTAAGCAGTTTTGGAGTCATTCTGTTGATGAGAGTTTGGAAACAAAAATGCATTTTCAAAAAAACTGGCTAGTTACTTTGCCACGCAGAAACATTTGACCCCATTTAAACTGTCTACCTCATTTGAGGAGTGTTCCCCTCCCTGACCTCACATCTTTTCTCCCCATGTAATCATTGCCTGAGATCGCTTGTAGTCTCTTCCTGTGTGATCTTCCTAGGCTAACTCAGTTCCTGTGTGTCCAGTGCTCGATGTGTGACAATCGCACAGAGTAGCCTGTCTGCCTTAGATCGCAGGTCTGCATTGCCGCCTTCATCTGGGAGGCGTCTTCTGTATAGCCCCCAACTTAGTTCCACCAAAATAAAACCCTTCTTCCTAAATACACACTCATCTGCAGTTACGTCTGAGCTTTCGGCTCATGTCGGTCGCACCACCAGCATGTGACACACCCGCCTTTTGGCACATTCCAAATCTCTTTCTGATGATTCTACCTCCTCGATTCAGAGTCTCATAGGTCAGACCTCATTACTTCAAACTCTTCCCAGCCACACTGTCGAATCTGTCTTGTACACTGTTGATAAGGTCACCTCCATAGGACACAATCTATCCAAAAAAAGGATGTTCACACTGGTCTCCCTGCCCCCAGCCTTGTCCTCTCTGATTCATTCTATAAACTACTGGCTGTTTGGTTATGAAACAGTGGTTTTAGCGCCCTCCCTTTTTCCTTGAGTTACAACCCAAATTTCTCAGGTCAGTATCATTGTCTGATCTTTACTTAAGTCACTTATAAGATTAGAGGGCTTGAAGTTGAATGAGATCATTCACACAAAGCACATTTATTTTTAGCCTTCAAACTATAAGTTTACTTTATAAATTTAGTATATTAATATAATATATTTTATTATATATTACATTTTAATATTATAACTATATGGTATATAATTAATAATATTTAAAATTCTGAATTTATATAAGCAGTAGACTTCTATAGCTTTTAAAACAAAGCTTTATGACTTTTCACTGCCTTCCTGAGGAGGCATCACAATGACCCTCTAATGGCTCCTTAGGCTATCCAGTCGTAAGTTGCCTTTCCAGCCTTCCTGCACATTTTCCTCATTATATATATATATATATGTGTGTATATATATATTTCTTATTATATATAATTTTTATTATATTATATATAATAAAAGTTTTTCTTAAATGATTTTCTGGTGAGCCCCTGAATGCCTGGTAGTTTACTTTTCAAGTCCTAGTAGCCTTTAGGCCCCTTCAAGTGAACACCAATCTTTCCATTTCTAGTCAGTCAACACACCAGCCTCTTTAGGTCTGTGGCAATGAAATGCCTGGCTCTTGGAACCTAGTTCGATGTTTTCTTTCTGCACTAGTCAGTGTACCAGTATGCTCTAACCTCCCTGGAGACTCTGAGTGTAGCAAGGAAAAGCAAAGGAAGCGGCATGATCGGTTTCTGTCCACAGCTGGTCTCTTAAGTTCCATAACTTCCCTGTTTGTCAGTGATCTTCCTGTAAGTGCATTGATAATTCATCAGGGCACATGTAAAAGTAGGCACCAGTGCGCTTTAACAACTTGGGTAGGTTCATGTTTCATTTAATGCCTTACAAATCACCTCACTCTGTAAATGTTTCACGAACGATGTAGAAGGGAGTCATGTCTCCTTAGACATTCCTCCAGCCTTAAGTGAAATATAGAACCTTAACTTAGTATTGAGATATTAATGTTATCTTGGGAAAGTTCAGGGTTTGATGTTTTTTATAAACTGTGGGTTTAATTTAAATTATTTTATTTTAATATCCCAGAATGATTAATATAGAAAGACAAAACAAACAAACAAAAATCTCCTTTGAGTTTTGCCGTCCCGCTGGCTCGCATCACTCTGAACTCACTACACCTCTTCCTCAGAACAAAGTCTTCTATGGTGCTGCCTCTGATCTTATTTTTTTTCTTTAAAACTTCTGAAGTTAGCAAGTCCAATGGTGATGGGGCTGTGATAGCTTTTGATGGCACTTCCTCCTGAGGTTTGCATTTTGTCACTAATTCCAGGTCTTGTGAAGACCTTTTTATTTCCAGAAGTTTAATAAATTCAAAACAGTGTTCTTGGGGTTGGGAATTGAACTCAGTGGTAGAGCGCTTGCCTAGCAAATGTAAGGCCCTGGGTTCAGTCCTCAGCTCGGAGTGGGGGTGGGGGATTAAAAAAAAATTAAAAACTCAGTGGTGCTCATATTGAAAGATTCTGGGTGTGCTTTGCACATCTGTTCATAGGTACGGGTTGGTGTCCTTGCATGCCTAGAATTGTGTAAGTATGGAACAGGAAGAAAAGGCTGAGCTGGGATTTGTTTTTATTAATTCACAGAACACAAGACTGTCAGCACCCAGGCAGTGTGCGGTTTAGCTTTATCCCTGAGACCCCTTCCTAAGGCTGTGTGCGTTCATTGTTGTGCAGTCTACATAGCTGGATACAAAAGGAACTGGGTGGAAATGGTGTAGTCACCTCTTATGGAAAATTCCTTTTGATAAATTGTGGAACCACATGTCATGATTCAGAAGAACAGATAGCAAGAGTCTGATTCTGTGTATGCCAAGTTAAGAGTCAATATTGTCAGTATGCCAAGTCATTAAAAAGTCCCCCCTCTGATGTGGTTTTAGAAGCTCTACCAGAAGAACAATTAACATTTCTTACTAACTTACAGACTATCATGGGAGGGGGAGGGCTCCATAAGTGCATCCATAATGATATTATAAATAAAATCACAGGAATAGAACTCTTGCCAACTTCCAAACTCATTAGCATGGCACTGACATTCTGATAAAATAGCGTAATCAGAAGCACTCAAAGGAGCGATGCTTTCTTGTTTTTTTCACTGCCCTAAAACCCTCTGATAAGAATAACTAATGCAGAATGGGGAGATTGTGTGTGAGTTCTTTCTTCGCAAGTATGATGAGCTTAAATCGTTAGTACCCACATAAAAGGTCCAGTGTGGCCACCCCTACTTATGTGGGATAGACACACAAGTCTCTCTAGGACTTGCAAACACCAGCCTAGCTCAGGATTCACTGAGAAAGCCTGTCTCAAAGAAATAATGTGAAGAATCATCGAACAGAACGCCCAATATCTTCCTCTGGACTACACATTGCCCAAATGCACATACCTGCACACTTGTTGTGCATTCATATGGGAGAGAGAGAGAGAGAGAGAGAGAGAGAGAGAGAGAGAGAGAGCACTGCTTGTTTGCTTCTGTAGTTGGCTGGTTTTTATTCTTTATTCTTTTGACTCTCTTTTGAGCGTCCCACCACCCAACTCCCAAATAAATACACAGAGGCTTATTATTTCTTATAAATTCCTGGCCTTAGCATGACTTGTTTCTAGCCAGCTTTCCTTAGCTTTAACCCATCTACTTTTTGCCTCTGGGCTTTTACCTTTCTCTTCAGTAAATCTTACCTTAACTCTTACTCCTGGGTGACTGGGTGGCTGGGTGACTGGGTGGCTGGGTGGCTGGGTGGCTGGGTGACTGGGTGACTGGGTGGCTGGGTG